GTATTGAAATTTTCAACTATAAAATGAATTTTTTTGTTTTTCCTTTCAATATTATCAGTCTTAATGTGTTTTGAAATTCTGTTAGGTGTGTACACATTTAGCATTCTTATGTCTTCTCTGTAAATTGACTCCTTTATCATTATTCATGATCTTTTTTAAAAATAGATTTTATTTTTTAGAGCAGTTTTACATTCACGGCAATATTGAGCAGAAGGTACAGAGATTCTCCATATACTCCCTGCCTCCACACATGCCTAGTCTCCACACTGTCAGCCTCCTGTACCAGGTGGTGTGTCTGTGACAGCTGCTGCACCAGCGCAGGTGCATCTTCACCCAGAGCCCATAGTTTACATTAGGTTCACTCTTGGTGGTGTAGATTCTGTGGACTTGGACAAAATGTATAATGACATGTATCCACCATTATAGTGTCAAACAGAATGGTCTCACTGACCTAAAAGTGCACTTATTCATCCCTCCCGCCCCGCAGTGATGACGGTTTTATCTGTAATGTTCTTCTGAAGTCTACTTTGTTGCTGATATATATGCTGATATTAAGGTAGCCACTCCACTTTCTTTTGATTAGTGTTCCCATGGTATATATTTTTTCATCCTTTTACTTTTAACCGGCCTATGTTTTTGTATTTAAAGTGGTTTGTTGTAGGCATTACGTGGTTGGGCCTTCTTTTTCACCCAGTGTACAAATATCTGTCCTTTAATTGGTGAATTTAGACTGTTTCCTTTTATATCTACCATCTTAGATTTAACTGTATCATTTGTTAATTTTTTTCTATTTATTCCTTCTATTTTTAAAATCTTTTTTCCTATTTTTCCACCTTGGATTATTTTGTGATTTATTTTATCTTCCCAATTGTCTTATTTATACCTCTTTTAAAAATATTTTCTTGGTTACTCTAGAATATACATTTTTAATTTCTCATAGTATCTTTTCTGGTATAAAAACCTTATAATACTGTCTTCCTAATTTCTCCCATTCATCTTTTGTGCAATTGTTGTCAAACATTTTAATTTTATATAACAATAATCCTAAAATACATCTTTACTATTTTTGTTTAAATAGCCTGTTATCCTTCAGAAAAGTGAAAATTAAGAAAAGAAGAATTTTATATTGAACTGTATTTATGGAAGGTTTAGAACTCCTCATTTCTTTGTGTTGATTCAGTTTTCTGTATTGTAATTTATTCCTTATGCCTGAAGATCTTCCTTGAACATTTCTTATAGTGCAGGTTTGCTGCTAATAACCTCTCTCAGTTTTTGTTTGTCTATAAAAGTGTTTATTTCTCCTTTATTTTTTTCAGAAAGATATTTTTGTTATATATTTGGTTATAGGATTCTGGGTTGTCTTCTGACTTGTATTGTTTGTGATGAGCTTTTGGATCTGAGACTTAGTGTCATTCATTCATTTTGGAAAATCCCCAACCATTATCATTTCAGATATTCTCCCATTCTCTTTCTCTTTGTCTCTCTCTCTTCCTATTTTGAGATTCCAATTACAGGAATATTAGTCTGTTTGATATTGGCCTGTAGCTCTTGGATGGTCTCTTCTATGCCTTCCTGTCCCCTACTCTTTTTTTTCTTTCAGTTTGGGTAATGCCTATTGACTTATTTTTAAATTTGCTGATTCTTTTCTTTCTGGTATTAGGCCTACTGATGAGCCCATTGGTGGCTTTACTTCTATTACATTCATTTACTTCATTTTTAGCATTTCTCCATTTTTATGCTTTTCATCTCTTTGATGCAATTCCCCATTTGTTCATGCATGTTGTCAGCTTTTTCCAGTAAAGCCTTTAAACATTGATCTTATTTTAAATTCATTGTCTGATAGTTTTAGCATTGATGTCATATCTCTGCCTGGTTCTGTTGATTGCTTTGTCTACTGACAGGTGTTTTTTTTTCTTACTCCTTTATATGTCATATAGCTTTTGTTGTTGTTGTTGAAATATGGATATCTTGTGTTCTGGAGACTGAGGTAAATAGGAATGGACATGCCTCTTCCCTTGGTAGGCCTTCAGTGAGAGGAGTAGAGTCAGTTTAGTTAGGATTTGAGCAGGGTTTGGGTTATGCTCTTGATGTTGCTATGGTTACTCTCAGTGCACCACCAGTTCACATTCTGGTATCATTGCCTTATGCTTAGAATGGAAAATGGCATGGCAGAGGGTTTACTTCAGTGTCTACTCTACCCTTTACTTTAGGTCTCCCCATTGTCCTTACACCTAAGAGAAGGTTCCTGTCCATGATCTGGCCCATTCCTTAGCAATAGAGTGCTCTTACTTGTAATTCTGTTGTTGCTAATTTGGTTGGAGATGGGATTTGCATTCTCTGTTGTCCTTGTTCAGCCTTGTTCAGGTGCATGTCCCTGGGATGGTGCCTTCTCAGGTACTCCGCTCTTTCTTCATGGGGAGGGAATATGTTACAATCTGAGCCTAGGATGCTTTCCTACCTTCTCTAACTCCAGTGTAGGGGCTCTTAACCTGTGCTTTGAGGGTAATAGGATTGTCTTCCCTTTTCCCAACTTCTTATGCTTTTGATACCTAGGGAATATAGGGGGAATGGAACTGGCCACCCAGAAAGGCTGTATGCCTTTCCTGCAGAAGTTGCTGCTCCCCTGTCTAAGCTTGCACAACAAGAGAGGATTTCTTGAGTTCCTCACCTTGTCTCCAGTTTTTCTCTGACCTTCTGATGAGGTCCTTATATGCATTATCTTTTGTCTTTTTTCCCTTTTCTTATTAGTTTATGTACACCTGTCTTTGTCCTAGAAACAAGTTAATTCTTAATTGTCTACTTTATTTATTGCAGTGTTTGATTTAATTATTAGTTCTATAATAAATGTACTTTTGACCTTTTAATTTATTTTATTAGGTCTGTGAACTTATTTTTTACCTCATTCTGTTTTATCTCATTTTGTCCTATTATTTAAAATAATTCATATTCTTACCAATTCCTATTCATATTTCTTCCTAAGATGGTGGATCTACAGTTTAGTTTATGTTCCATTCAGAATGGATTAAAAATTTTTGCATGCCGCCTGGCCGGGCGTGGCTCAGTGGTTGAGTGTCAACCTAAGATCCAGGCGATCGGGGTTCGATTCCCGGTCAGGGCACCTGCCTGGGTTGTGGGCTTGATCAGTGACTCTGTCATCATTGATGTTTCTATCTCTCTCTCCCCCTCTCCTTTCCTCTCTCTGAAATCAATAAAGATATATTTAAAAAAAAAAATTTTGCATACCATATCGCATTACTCATTTTTCCCACATCTCATGTTTTATTTTCATCTTATTTATTAACATGTATAGCTCTACATTTCTTTGATTTTGCTAATTGAGCATGAGTGAATTCTTCTCAATTCTCACTCCACTGAACTTGAATCTAAAATCTTTCTTTATAAACTACACTTTGAAGGTGGATTTGGACTGAGGACAGTGATGAGTGTGCAGAAGGTTAGCGGAACAGGAGCAGAAAACTGAAGGTTGAGGTTGGATTGTTGTGCAGCATATAGTGCAGAGTAGCCTGCCCAGCATTGCTTACACCTTCCCTCTTGTGTACCTTTCTGTATGGCTCAGGCGGAAAAACTAAAAATTAAATCTCAGACATCCTAGTAGCTAGGCTTTGACAGTCATAGGTACTCAGCCACGCTTAGCTGTGTAGAGAAGCGCCCATGTTGGTGGTGCACACCATGGCAAGCAAGGCACCCCTGGGGCTTCCTTACAGCTCAGGTGCTACAGTAACTAGAGCCAGTGGTGGTGGTGGTGACTTTCTAATTTCTCCACTGTCATCCAGGAGCCAGTGGTTAGAGCTGCGGTGTCCTGCTTCCTGAGATTCCTCATCTTGGCGAAGGTAGCACTTTTCTTGGCAGACCATTCTGCTGTGTTATTTTTGGATCATAATTGGGGGGGGGGGCGCACTTGTTCTTTAAATTTGCCCAATGATGCTGTTAGCACCAACTAGCTAGATAACATCTCTTTCTGTAATGATTGCCATTATCTATAGCTAAAACTTGACCTAGAAACCTTGTTGGAATTCTTGTACCAGGCTCAAAAAAAAAGAAACCAAATTCAAAATGACATTAACAGTAAAGAAATATATTTTCTCCTATAATGGAGGTCAAAGGTAGGAAGTATTACAGGTTCAATATGATTAGTTGCTTAGTGATCTCATCAAGAGCATAGGTTCTTATATGTTTTTTTTTCATATTTGCTATACTCAGCTCATTCCTTTCACAGTCACAGTAGGGCTGCTTGTGGTAACCAGGGCCTATGCTTATGTTTGGGTCAGGGATGGAGATGGGACCAGAGGCTTGATTCTCTTGCCCATGAGCCCTGAATAAACTTATTTTTGCTTCTCATTGGCCCAAATCACCTACTGATTGCTGAATTAGTCACTGGCAAAGGAATTATTTTGGAATGATCACAGATGGCTTTAATTAATCATCAGGGTAGAATTGGTGTTGAGGAGTCAAGGACGGCGTCCATTGCAGTCATTCTACCTTCCTTTTCCTTTCCGCCTTCACGCAGCTTTTCCCAGCGAGGCTCTAAGTGTTTGTCTGTTGGCGATCATAGATGATCAAGTAGCTTCTGCTCTCGTGGGTATTTTATCTCCTTTTCTGGGCTTCCTGGACCTCCTTTCATATGAAGGTTAGAGTATTTGTGAAAAATTTTAGGATTTCTGTCTCTCCGTCTTTCCTAATCCAACAGCCCCTCACTCCCACCCCTACAGAAAGCTTTTAGATGTAGTAGTGTCCAAACAAGATGAGCTTCCCAAGGCTGTGCAGATTTTTAGAAACTTCCATCTTTTATTTTTATGCACATTATTTTGCTTAATTGCTTCTTGTATATTTTTTGGTATTAACTTGATTTTAGTTCATAGTATTTGGCTTTGGACAGAGATTTTGAGAACTGGTTTCACTTAAGCATTTTACTTCAAAATTCTGAAATTTAAAAAATATTCTTTTAATATTCTATATTTATTACATTTTGGTCAGTGGACATGATCTGTAAAATTTCAGGTATGTAGAATCTAGACTGTCAACATGACCTAAAAGATCATCATTTAAAAAAAAGATTCCATGCGTACTATTAAATAGAAAGTATTCTCTTCTTATAAGTGTTTAACTGTTTAAACTGTCTATTATATGTAACTATAATATGTCTATTTTTTAGTTTTATTGATTATATCATGTAGCTACTCCTTATTCGTGTGTGTGTGTGTGTGTGTGCATGCGCATGTTCATGCATGTATGTGTACTTGATCTGTTGTAGAGTAAAAGGAGTGTTGGACTCTCCACATCCTCTCATCTCAGACTCCAGGGACTTCCAAACACTTGGTCCCAGAAAGGGGAAAGTTCTCTCTTTTTCTCATCCAGGTTTGTACATGCTTGCCTTGGCATAATTGTCAGTACATATACCCAATTCACATTTTAAGACAGAACACTTCTAGGCCTACTGCGTCTGTTATATTTATTGCACTTACAGTTTTCTCCAAGAACAGTAGGTTTTGTGTAATTTCAAGGTACATAGTCATGATTTTTCCAAAACGAGGGCACTTTCTTTTAAAGTAATAGACTCTTCACCTCAAACAACAACAACAACAACAAAACCCCTTCTATTAATCCTTAAGTGGCTGTGCCTTAAGAGAAAACAACAACAACAACAAAATCTCACTTCACATACATATAAGTAAGTTACAAATGTGAATTTTTCTCTTTCTTAGGTATACAAATTGTTTCTGAAAGGGAGTTAGCTCAATTGGCTCAGGTTCAGCCATTAATATTCAGTTTTCACCAGCAATCGGCCATCATGGATAGTCTTAAAATACTTCAGAAAAAAGTGGAAGAACATGAAATCATCCAGGAATTTATGGTAAATATTTTGGTTTTATCAAAAGTCTATATATGATTTCTTCTCTGCATCACTACCACAGGGTTTCTTTTCTTTTTTTTTTTAAGATTGAGTATATATTTTTTTGTCTTTAAATATTAAATTTGTTTTTGAAGTAATAGGTGTACGCGGTAAAAAGTCACGCAGCATGAAAGGCTGTGAAATGGGTAGAGTCTCTCTCGTTCTCCCTTGCCTTCTTAGGCCTCCTTTCCACTAGTAAGGTTGTCATGTAGACTTCCAGAAAAATTGTTAGCTTGTATCTTACTTTACCCTTCCTTTCCTTTCAAAACAAATTTTTCACATAAATGATTTCCAAATATAGTACCAGCACGTATAGCTCTAGCTCATTCTTTTTGTGTTGCATGGTGGTTAATATCTGAATAAAGACCTTTCCTTTGGACAGTTACCTATGATGGATATCTAGGTTATTCTCGCCTTTGCCATTGTGAACAACATTCACCCCGCTTCATACGCCTGTGCGTATTCTTTAGAACAAATTCCTAGAAAGGCAACCAGTGTTTTGTGCTATCAAATTTTTGGATCTTTGCTCAGTTCTTAAATGAAAAATGATTTCTTACTGACGATCTGATTGGCATTTATTTGAGATCAGAGGAATAGCTTTCCATATGTTTTTAAGCCTTTCATGTTTATTTGTAGTGAACTGCTAATTCCATCTCTTTTCCCAGTGTTCTACTTATTGTTTTCTTATCCTTTAATAAGCCTTCACGTAATGGAGAAATGATCCCTTTTGTATGTGTGATATATGGTAAATTTCTCCACTTCGTTGTTTATGTTACACACACCTATGTGTGCACACACATTTACTAAGAAAAAATAGCTCTTTTTTAGTGGTCAAATATGGCAAGCTTTTCTTATTGGGCTTCAGGGATTTCTTTGTCTTTTAAGAATTCCCCTTTCACTCTAGGACCATAAGAATTATTTTATTTTTTTCTAATACTTTGATGATTTTTAAAAATGTAAATCTTTGATCCAGCTAGAATTTAATTTATTAAAAGATATTTCATAGGGACCCAGAATTATATAGCTATCCAATTGTCCCAAGATTGTCTGGAAACTTCTCTTCCGTGCTGTAAAATGACACCTTTATCATATGCTGGAGTCCCACATATGCTTTAATTTATTCTTGGACTTTTTCCATTGATTTGTTTATTCATATACAGATATTTTCCCACCACCATTTATCCTCTCTTCCACCTCCCCCTACCCCCACTCCCTGCAATCACCACACTGTTGTCCATGTCCATGTCTATGTCCATGTCCATGATTTCTCCAAATTATTTTAATTACCATAGTTTTATATTATTTTTACCATCTGTTAAGACTAGTCTTTCCTCATTACTCTTATTTTACAAAATTGTTCTGGTTTTTCCTACAGACTCTTTTTCACGTTGACTTTAGAATTGGTTTACAAAAAGATTAGAAAGATAATAATCTGATTATATTATCCTACTGCTTAAAACATTCACTGGCTCCTCATTCTCCATGGCAGGAGTTGCCAACACCTATTTAAAGACTGGTGGTGCCAAGCTGGCCACCTGAGAGTCACTGAAGAGCTTTTTAAAAGTACAGGCCTTATCTACAATATTCTAATAGAGCAGGACTAGCTGCATCTTGATTTCCTTCGTATATAAACAAGGCCTTCCAGGCAGTTTCTGTTTCCCGTTGGGCTACATCATATGCTCTGTGCTCTTGTTGTGTACTATTTTCCACTGTTTCCCTGAGAGGACAGATGTGCCTCCATGCCTTTATTCCTGTCCTCCTACCTGGAATGATAGCCACCCACCTCTGCTCTTCTTTCCTTCCACACACGCCCAGACTTTCATGTGAGTAACTCCCAATGACCCACGAAGGCCCAGTACAATTGTTCCTTACTTTCTAGAGCTTTCCTTCCTGTACCTTCAGGTACATTCACCCTGGTGTCTTGTACATGCTCCCATGTCCGCCCCTTCAACGCCATACCTTCAGGTACAGTCCAGTGCTGTCAGTCTTCCTGGTGTCTTTGTACATGTCCCCATGTCCACCACTTCACCTTCTTCATTAATTCATGCGGGATGAAGCCATTTTCACATTCAGACTCATCTTTGTACTCAAAAGTTAAGAACAGTGCCAAGTGCGTACTAAGTATTTAATGAATGTTTGTTGAATTTACATTGGGTAAATCAATTTTTTTGAAAGGAAGATTCTTTAATTAATGTCCTACCTGTAATTTCTTTGTTGGGCAAGAAGTAAATTATGAGACTGTATTTTTTATAAGTTTATTTATTTTTGTTGCTGTTATTTTATTATTTTTGTCTATAAAATGATGGATTTCTGGGTAGGTCCTAAGAAGTGAATATTCTATATTCACTTTTTTAAAGGAAAATTAAAAGATATTTGAAGTTCAAGTAAAAGAAAAATCTCTGAATTTAACATTTTCTTATCAAGCAACTTGTTGGTTGACATCTCAAATGTGAGATATTTTGTGTAGTACTTATTAAATGGGGTTTGATTTCTCTACTTAATCATACAATACTGTACATTTAATATAACTAAGATCTTGTCATATAGAGCATTAAGGATCATGAACACTAAACAAAGGCAGGTATTTTTTGTTGTAGTAAATACATGACTTATATTTCTTACCTCCAAAGGCTTTAGAATGTAAGAATCTGCCTGGTGAGTTCAACTCTGGGAGTGAACCATGCAACAGAGACAAAAACAGATACCGAGACATCCTTCCATGTAAGCTGAAAACGCCTTTGGTTATTTTCCTGTTCGCATTTGGGAAAAGATGAAAAGCGGGTTGCATGGCTTTTAGTGTTAGGCATTTTGACCGGTGACCATGATGAGAAGCTCTAGCAGTTGGTGGCAAGGCATATTTTTTGGATATGTGAGAACATGGTAAAGGTCGAGTCTTCTATTCCAGGTACTTCTTCCAGCTGTGGTCACAGGGTTGTTTACAGAAGTCCTTCAGCCCTGTTCTTATGCGTTTATTGTTACTTCTCAGGCCATGAACCTTCTAAAACATAGTCTAATAGTTTGAGACATTTGTCACTTTGGGTACAAGAAGCCTGACGGCCTTCCCTAGCCATTTTGTTCAGACACACGGGTAGAATGGGGCTATCTCTGTTCCTAGTCCTGGACAATAAAGCTGTCAGTCTGCTTTCCAGCAGGAGGCCACCCTCTGATTGTCTCCCAAGGGCCCTACACATTGCTTCCCTCGCTGAGTGAAGGTAGTGCCACTTCCCTCCCACCCGGTTGGTTACTCACAGGATTTATCTGTCTCAGGCCATCCAAAGAGCATAAAAAAACCACAAAACACAGTTTTAATCTTAGACAGTCAAGCTCATTCTATGCCTTACATTTCTTTCGAAGTCAGAAGTTTCCAAATTAAATTACCATTTGTTTCTCTCAACTTGATCTTCCTCCGTCATTATATATCTTATTTAACACAACCATCCAGTTGTCCAGACTAGAAAACTCTTGAGTCACCTGCAATATCCAAAAGGAGTCACAAAGCTCTTTTGATTCTACCTCCTTAATACCTCTAGCATCATCTCCCGTCTCCCGGTGCCCATTGCGGCTAGCTTAGAGTGGGCCTGCTGTGCCCCTCAGCTGGCCTCCGTTGTCTGCGCTGCCTCCACTCCCACCTACTCCCAGCAGCACCTGGAATGGTTTTCCTACAACACAAATCAGAACATGGCACTCTTCTTTTCAAAGCTCTTTGCCCCTCTGTTTCTATCATGGTAAAATTCTTCAGATGGCCTGAGTTTTACCTCTCTAGCCTCGGCTGCCCCACAGAACTTCTCTGGCTTCTGGAATTCATCATTTTCTTTCTCTTGTCCCCAGGCCTCTGAACCTGCAGTTCTTGCAAGAACCATCCATCCTCTGCTGAGGTAATTCCTGCAGTCTTTCAGAGCTAGCTCGGCCAGACCTGCCTTGTTTGCCTCAAAGCTAGGTTTGGTATTTTCTAATAGGCTCTACCATCTTGTGACTCCCCTCCCCCACTTATCAAACTGTATTTCAATTATCTATTTATGTCCTTGTTTCTCTCACTAGACTTGCGCTCATTATTATAAAAATCAGAGTAGAACACAGTGACTGCCATCATTGAATAGATACCTTCATGTTTAGTTGGTTCAATCAGACCTAAAATAACTTTATGATGATAAAAGTACCTTCCCAAGATAGTAGAAATAATTTATTCTGCTCTCTTCTGTCGGGAGAGTGCAGGATGCATTCATGACTATTTCTGAAATCAGGGTGATGAACCATTATTAGACAGTTTAAGAAATAATGCCAACAATTTGGTGTTGCTCCGAGAGGTTAGAGGTCCAGTTAGATAATTTTTACCCTACACGTGCTGTTAGCCCTCAAGGAGACTGAATGTTAGCAGGCCTTTAAAATGAGCCCCTTAGGAATAGAAGAAACTCATCTTAGGATATGGAGTACATTTAACATTTGATCTGGCTTGAACTTTTATTCTGGGTAGAAGAAGAGTGACAACTAAAGAGATGCAAAGGTACAAAAAAGTGAAGTTAAATATTAAAACTAAAGAAAATCATATACAACTTTTTGACTTTGTCTTAAAAGAAAATCAAGTGTTATTCGATCAAGTTCTATTTTGAAGGTCACTGATTTATCTACCTCTTACCATAGTGTAACTTAATTTAAAATAAGTGCACTTAGCCTGGCCAACATGGCTCAGTGGTTGAACATCGGCCTAGGGTCCAGGAGATCAAGGTTCAATTCCTGGTCAGGGCACATGCCCGGGTTGCGGGCTCAATCCCTGGTGGGGGATGTGCAGGAGGCAGCCAATCAATGACTCTCTCATCATTGATGTTTCTTTCTCTCTCTCCACCTCCTCTCTGAAATCAATAAAGACATATTTAAAAATAAAATAAAATGCACTTAAATGACAATCATAGAAAGTTTCTTTGATTTCTTCACACTTTTTTTGAATTAATAGAGGAGGTTCATGAAGAATTACATGAAGAAAGCCAAAGAAATAACAATTTTTCCTGTCTCTTCAAATGCTGTGAACACTAAATGGGGAATTCACACATCCTGGGACAATACTCACTTTGCATGGCTCCAGGATGCATGAATTTCAGTTACTGTGTGTTGCTAGGTAACAACCATTCCTCAATAATATGATTCAAATTTCAGTAATCACAGTATATTAACTATGAGTAATTCCATAAAATATACACTTCAGTTCTATCTCTCCTGTCCACAAATCTCTATGTAAATAACAGATGCACATCCTGATCAGTGATCAATCATATCACTTCTTTTTTTATGTGTTTTATTGATTTTTTAGAGAGAGGAGAGAGAGAGAGGAAGAGAGAGAAACATCAGTGTGAGAGAGAAACATTGATCAGTTGCCTCCTGTACGTGCCCGACTGGGAATCCAACTGCAACCTTAGATACTGACGGGAATCGAACCCGCAACCTTTTGGTGTACGAGATGACGCTCCAGCCAACCGAGCCCCGGCCAGGGCTCGTGTTATGTCCGTTGAATACGTGGGCAGTTGGTCACTGTGTGCTGCTTACTCAGCTCACAGAGCAAAACGTGCAGTGGGTTGCCTCCTCATCTTTCAGTGATAAACCGACATCGTTTTTTACTGGGTATGGATAATCAAAAGGGAATTGACCAACAAAGATGAAATTGCAGGAAAAAAGAAGTGGTAATGTTGGCAATAAAATTCTAATAGAACATAAATAGGTTCCAGAATGAATGGCTGCCAGGAAAGTGCTGACATGGTCACTACTAAAGATGCTCTAGACATGAAGCTGGAAGAACTGGCTGAGGAGAAGTCACTGGCATAAATGAGAGAAGCGTTTGTGACGGAGAGGATGAGCGCGTCCCAGGGGAGCGGTGCTGGCAAGCAGCTTCCCGTCAAATGAGCTGTTGGCCCTGCCCCACCACACCCTAAGTGTGGCCGATGCAGTTCACCGTCTACCTACCATGTGACTCAGCAGTTCTGCTCCTGTGTATTCTCTTAAGAGAAGTGGAAGCACATGTCTGCATAAAGAATTGCCTACAAATGCTCATATCAGTTTTATTTGCTGTAGCCAAAAACTGAAAACAGTCCAGGGTTCACCAGTAGAAGAGTGGATAAATAAATGTGGTGTGCCCACACAGTGGGATTACTACTCAGCAAACTAATGATACATTCAGCAACACACAGTAATGTCGTATACATTCAGAGTAATTATCTGAAGTGAAAAAAGCCAATCAGAAGAGTAGGTAGTGTACATTATAGGCTGAATTAAGTTCCCCTAAAATTTGTATGTTAAAGTCCTAGTCCCTAGGACCTCAGGATGTGAGTGTACTTGGAGATAGGGCCTTAAAGAGGTGATTAAGTTAGAATGAGGCCATTGGGGTGGGTCCTAATCCCACAGGACTGGTGTCCTTCTAAGAAGAGATTGGGACACTCAGAAGATGCCAGAGATGCATGGGCACAGGAAATGCAAGGTTATGTGAGGGGCATGAGAACATTTCAGCAATGATGGAAATGTTTCATTATCGTTATTGTAGTGATGGTTTCTTGTAGACCAGTTGTACCTCAGTAGTCTTAGAAAAGGTAGTTTGTGAGTGAGTACAAAAAGTATGTTACACTTTTTATATTTTGTACAGTTGATCATTACTTAGCTGGAAAAATATCAGCTGTCTAAGGGAGAGATTCAGTAAGTATTCACACTTTAGTGATTGTTTAGTGTTTGTTCCTGTTAATGCCTGCAGCAGTAATAGTAGTAATAATAGTCGTAGTAGTAATATGCTTATATGTGCCCAGCACTGATCTAAGTCCCTCACAGGTAGTAACTCAATCCTCACCACAACTCGAGGATGTTGGTACTCTTAGGATCTTTGATTTTCAAAATGGCTACAAGAGATTAACCACATCCCCACAGTCGTACTGCAAATAGAAGACAGACCTGGAATTCAAACCTAGGCTTAACCGTTAAGCGATTGGGCTTCTCTATATTCATTCTTTTTCCAGACTGTTAATAGGTTTTCCTGTGGTATATGTTTTCAAGAAACCATTTTTAGCACTTAAATGATATATTCTCAGCCAAAAACTATATTTTGTAAGGCTTGTTGTTTTCTATTGTTTCCTTTTCTGTCCATTTTCCCTTATTTTGAGGTCTCTGTTCTGATTCAGTAGTAGTTTGGTTAGCAGTAGGCTAAGTAGTTTATATAGTCTCGAACTCCGCCTTCTGCAGCGACCTCTCTTGTTTGTTCATCCTGATAAATGGTTATCTTTATTGATTTTAGGATTGTGGGATATCAGTCCTTTCTCCTCAGTTTTCTCTGGGTGTTGCAGTTTTCTCCAGCTTCCTATGTTTTTGATGAGAACTGTAATGGTATTTGACTCATTTTATAAGGAACATTAGTTTCATTCTGAAACCTAATAACATTTTAATTTTTTTGTGGAATTCAGGAATGTTACCAGGTGTGTTTCAGTTTATCAGTGTTACCTAGAACTCACAGAGTCTCCTCCCCCATTTATTATTATTTTTTTCTTTCAATTTTATTTTATATTGATTTCCGGTGTACAGCTTAGTGGTTAGACAATCATATACTTTACATAGTGTTCCCCCTTGATATTTCCAGTACCCACCTGGCACCATACATAGTTATTGCAATATTGTTGACTATATATGCTATTACTTACTTTCCTGTGACTATTTTGTAGCTACAAATTTGTGCTTCTTAGAACTCACAAAACCTTTTA